CCGCAGGCCCGCCGGCCCCGGCCCAGTTGCGCGATGGAGTGCCAAGCTGCAGGGGCCCCGGGAGACACATGCATCCATTCACACAAACAGCAGGGATTCCCGCTGTATTTTCCCACAGTTTCTGGGCTCTTGTCTTCCCCCCCACGTCCCATATCTTCCCATACCTTCCCGGGAGTCGACGATGAAATCGTGTCTGCTTGTCGTTTCCCCTCCCGATGAGCTCTGCCAATGGGGCCGCCTCCGTGGAAGCTTTGCGCGTTGTCGCGGACCCCCTCGGGTTCGGCCTCGAGACCCGCAGCTCGCCGCGCTGGCCCGCGCAGTCCAAGGCGGGCCCCGCGCCGCGCGATGGCGCCGCGTCCGGGGGCGCGCCCTGGGACAACGAGGGCATGCGTAGCCTTAAGTCGGGCCTGTCCCCCTACAGGGGGATTTTCGACGGAAAAAAAGAATACCCCCAAAATCATCAAAAAATAATGCAAAAATAGTCTGGGGACAACTTTTTAAATGTTTCACCTTTTTCTGGTAATTTTTGGTGTATCTTTTTTATGTTTCGTCGAAAATCCCCCTGTAGGGGGACACGCCCGACATAAGAGTAGCCCGCTGGGGCATCCATGATCGCCCCTTGGGGCGGATGGCAGCGAACAGCGCGATGTTGCGAACAGTTCGACCGTTCGCGCCTGGCGCTTGGACGTCGGCGCCGGCGATGCACATGCCTGCGACCGAAGACTGCGCGGAGCGGGCTCTCGCGCAGGTGCTTTCGGAGAGGCGCCCGATGCGAGTGGGTCCGACCACGGCGATGCCTTCGATGATCGCCGCCTGGCGGCGGAGCTCTTCGCCGACCGTTCCGCCGCTGGGCCTGCATGGATTGTTCGGCCCAGGCGGCGGGCGAATAAAACAATCCCACCGGCCCTTTGGGGCGCAGGTGGTCTACAGGGGGCTTCCTTTACAATTACTCAATATGAAAATACTCTCCCTCTTCCCCTGATGGCGTCCGGGTGATGGCCGCGCACCCTCCGCGTACTGTCTTTTTACACACAGGATTCCCGGGAAATCCCGGGAAACGACTCTCGCTGAGGCCCCGGCGTCATTTTTTCCCAAAATGCTGCTCTCGTTGAGGCGACGGCCTCATTTCTGCTCCCGAATCGTTCCGAATCGTGCTCCCGCTGCAGCGTGGGCCTCATTTTCGGATCGGTGTTTGGCCTCCATCGTTCAGGATGGCGTTCTCGCCCCAGCGCGGGTCTTTTTCTCGCGCGCCCATCCGCCCGCCACCACCGCGCCGCACCGCCACCACCACCACCACCACCACCACCACCACCAACACCACCACCAGCACCAGCACCAGCACCAGCACCAGCACCAGCACCAGCACCAGCACCAGCACCAGCACCAGCACCAGCACCAGCACCAGCACCACCAGCACCAGCACCAGCACCAGCACCAGCACCAGCACCAGCACCAGCACCAGCACCAGCACCACCACGACAACCACGCACACACGCACGCACGTGCACCACCACCCACTACGCACGCGCGCGCGGAGCCACAGGTCCGCTACGACACGCGTCCGCGGATAGAGAAAATCAGCGCCATGGTAAGGGATGGGAGGGAGGGGTAGGACGTCAGATATGACGCGAGCGCACCTAGCTTGTCCAACCCCCCTTTTCCCCTTCTGGGAGGGGCATGCCCCTCCCCCTGCCCCGCCCCCTGGACCTGGGCGGAGGGTTCCGCGGGTAGTTGGAGCGCCCGGAACGGCTTCGGCGATGAGGCTAAAATCATTGGTTTCACCAAGGTCTCGGCGCCATTTTGGCCTCCTGGTGGGGGGGCTGATTGGTGAGCTCCCTCCTTTGATCGATCTCACCCAAGATGGCCAAATATGGCCCCAAGGGTGCCCCGAGAGGGCCCCAAGAGGTGGCCAGGAGGCCCCAAGAGGCCCCCAAGAGGCCCGCAGGACGCCCCCCATCAGCTCTCAATGGGCCCCCAAGAGGCCCCAAGAGGACCCCCAGAGGCACCCGAGACGCCCCCAGAGGCCTCGGCGAGAATGCCAACATAATTGATGTACCTTAGGTTTTGGCCACGTTTTGGCCGCCAGAGGGGGGGCACTGATTAAGATGGCCCCAAGAACGCCTGGGAAAACCCCGCAAGGCCTCCAAGATGGTATATCTCAGTTGGCCCCAAAATGGCCCCCACGATGCCCCAAGAGGCCCAAAACTGCCCCAAGACGGCCCCAAGTGGCCAAAAAGCTCCCCCAAGAGGCCCCAAATAGGCCTAAATCCTTCCCAAACCATCGAGAAATCAATGTTATTCCTGTTCTCGCCCGTTCGCTCCCGATGGCCACCCGAGGCCTCAAGATGGTTCCAAGATGGCCCAAGAGGGCCCCAAGAGAGGCTCAAGGGAGCCCCGAAACGGCCCTAAGAGAGCCCAGGAGCGCTCCAAAAACGCCCCAAGAGGCGACTTGTTGGGCTCCCGAAAAGCAGCGCTAATTAATGCCCCTCTCTTGTTTGATCGATGCCGGCCAATATGGCCCCAGGGGCGCACCCGAGGCCCCCAGGGGCGCTTCACAAGGGCCCCAAGAGGAACCCAGGAGGCGCCCAGGAGGCCCCAACAGGCGCCCAAGGCCTCCAAGAGGCTCCCAAAAGACCTCCAAGAGGCCCCAAACAACTCTCCGAGGCACCCAGGACGCTTTAAGAGGCGTCCGGGACCGCCGAGAGGTCCCCAAGACGCCCCAACAGGCCTCCACTGGGGGACCCATTCCTCTGCGTGCTGCCCACCTCCCTGATCGAGGCTACTCCTCTGGACATCGTTTCTGGATGGGCTGGTGGGGCTACTTTTTAATCAGCGGCCGCGGGTGAGCGCGCCAGCGGCGAGTCAGGTCAAAGCGGGCTACGCAGAGACTTATTCGGCAGAGGCGGCGCGCAAGGCAACAGCTACGCGGCGAGCCAAGGCTGGTGGGGCTACGCGAAGCGTTAGAATTCTCCCACGGGTGCTTGTGCCCCCCTGGCCGCGGGGACGGCGGCGTTGCTGCCGTCGACGAGCGCGGCGCCGAGCGGGCGCGGCACGTGCCCGCGCTTCCGCTTGGCTCAAGCGCGCGGGAGTTCGACGTCATCGACTGAGAAGGAGACGCCTCGGAGGCGGCC